AAGTGAACGGGCTTCAAATAAAAGCCACTGCCATCAGCAGTGAGAAATCCTCCACACCCAGCTCTCCTCCTATGTGGCTGCTGTAAATGTCATCACACAGGGGTTTGTGCAGGAGATGTTAATTCCTGTTAAGGAAACACACGGCACTAAAGGCCTGCAGAAGGGGAGGGCAGATAGTGCTGGGCCAAAAGCACCTTGTGCCCAAAAATTTAGGGAAATGAGGTGTGGGGGAGGAGTGTGGCTCAGCCTGTGTCTCCCTCCCCAGGGCAGTGATTCGTGGCAGAAGCCGGTGTGGGGTTCAATAACCACACGAGATTCAGGGCTGGAACACCCGACAGGCACAGCAGAGAGACCCTTTCCCAGGGGTGACAACTCTATAGAGATCAACCAACCACTTACACTGGGTGGTTCCAGGAGGGGGAGGAAAGCACCAGAGACTCCCAACAGCACCACAGGAAGGGCAAGCACTCACATGTAGGAAGCTCAGGCTGACATCTTCCTTACCCAAACCCTCGGTGCTTTGCAGAGCACAGCCATTCCCGGGCCTCACCCTCGGGAGCAGTGGAGCTCCTGCTTAATTTGTGGCCATCGGGAACCTGCAAAAATCACAGCAAGGGCTGCTTAGAAGCCTTTGATCCTCCTGCCTGTGGAATGGAGCCTTGCGCTGCTGATGGGAGCGCTTGGCTCGGGGGCAGGGAGCTGCCCACGGACACAGCTGATGTGCTGGTGGATTTGGCTGCCACGGGATAGGAAATCAGTCTGAAGTGTACCAGAGTTGGTTTATTTTGGAAGGGGAAGTGGATTCCATGCCCAGCCAGTCTGTGCTGCTGCCCAGCTCAGCAAGGCAGGCCCTGGTCCCTCCCTTGGAAGAAGGGAAGGGCTGTGGATGAGCCCTGTGCTACCCTGACCAGTGCTCAGGTGCTGTGGGGTCCCACCATTCCACCTGGGGCTCTCCTGGCACAGCTGCACCCTGAGCATGTCCATGGGGATCACAGCTACAGGAGGAACCCCACTAGGGTAAGGACTGTGGCAGCTGCAGCTGAAAAGGCAGGATGGGGTCAGGGAAAGGGGCCTGTGAATGTCACAGGGCAGGGATGAGATCAAGGGAAGGGTCTGACAGTATCACAGAATCCCAGAATGAATCTTGTTCCAACTGCTATGCCACAGGCAGAGACACTTTCCGCTAGCCCAGGTTGCTCCAAGCCCCATCCAAGCTGGCCTTGAACACTTCCAGGGATCCAGGGGCAGACACAGCTTCCCTGGGCAACCTGTGCCAGGACCTCCCCACCCTCAGGGAACAATTCCTTTTCAATATCTAAACCTGCTCTCTGTCAGTTTAAAACCATTCCCCTTGTCCTGTCACTCCATGCCTTGTCCAAAGTCCCTCTGCAGCTCTCTTGGAGCCCCTTCAGGCACTGGAAGGGACTCTTAAGTTCTCCATGGAGCTTTCTCTTTTCCAGGATGAACAATCCCAATTCTCTCATCCTTACCTCATAAGAGAGGTGCTTCATCCCTCCTTTGGACTCTCTGTAGCTGCTCCATGTCCTTGCTGTGCTGTTCCCCAGGGCTGGAGGCAGCTCTGCAGGTGGGGGTCTCACCTGAGGGGGCAGAGGGGCAGAATCACCTGCTATGGATGGGGGAAGGCAGCGCAAGGCTGAAGGGACCTGTCCAGGGACTCCTGGAGAGACTGGACCTGCTCACACACTTTGAGCACAGCCCCCATGAGGGCGGGGGGGTCTTCAACCACCCGCCTTCCCATCTTCCTGCAGCTGCTGGACTCTGACCCGGCTCAGACTTGGGTATTTCGTCATCGAGCTGCAGTTCTCTGTTCCCATAATCAGTGACTTATCTGGCTCCCAACCCAGCCTTTGAAGCAGCCACGGATCACCCACTAACCTGAACCACAAGCTGCCTCTTCCCCGTGCTAAACATCGACCAGCAACCCCTGGAGCCACCCAAAGCCCACGGAGACAGAGCTCAGTCCCTCAATCCCTCATCCCCAGCAGGATCCCAGCACAGCACAGACCTGTGGCAGCCTGCTCTGAGAAGGGAATGCACCAGAGGAGCTGGAGCAGCTCCAGCTGCTCTCCCAGTGTGAAGCCAAGAGGGATTTTCCAGCTCCATAGGGGATGGGCTTCACTCCCATAAGCCTGGGGGGGGACACAGGCACACGCACCCAGCGGTGGGATGGGTGTAGTCACCTCTCCCTCCCGCTGCAGGAGCTGCCAGCAGCCTGACAGTGTCCCTGGGAATGTGTGACTCACCACAGCCCCGGGGCCGCTCTATATTTAAGCATTACAGAGGCAGGAATGAATGCACGGAGTCAGGAGCTGCTATCCCGGGGTCAGGACAAGGTTCAGAACCCAGCTGTCAGAGTTCACCGTCGTGGCCAACAGCATCTAAACCTTCAGGGAGGGCAAAACTGGCACAGGGAGGGGGGGATTTACAACTGCAGTGGGTCCAAGCAAGGCCAGGTACCTGCTGTGCACACCCGTGTCGGGAAGTTCCTCACTCAGCAGTGAGCTCAGCAGCTCCCCGAGGGACTGTGTGTGTGACTTTCACTTAATCCTGCATTTTTCTTGGTCGTCAGATCCTAAATTCTGGGTGCAGCTGAGCTATTTGCAGCTGGGCTGGAAACGCCTCAGGAGACTGGTGTGGGGAGGGGAGGAAGGAAGCAGGAGGAGGGAAGGAGAGTGGCTCATCCCCAGGGCAGGGCACAGGGGCTGCCACGTTTTGGAAAAGCAGATAAACTGCTTTTTATTCACAGAATCATAGAATCAGCCGGGTTGGAAGGGACCTCTGAGATCATCAAGTCCAACCCTTGATCCACTACCACCGTGGTTACGTTCACAAACTCGCTCCAAGGACAAGTGGCAAACGGGCAGGAAAGCTTCTGACTCCTCTTTTACCAGGCTCTGCACTTTGCCAGCTCCTCCCTCCCCGCCCTGTTCAGCTTTCCTGACTAATTCCAATTGGTTTTGCAAACAGCCCGTGCTCCAGAGCCACCCCCTCCAGGCTGCATGTCCTGCTCATGCCACATTCCCTGTGGTTTGCATCCTCTGCAGCCCTGCCAGCGTTTTCTCCCCTCTCTGTTTGCCTTCAGCAGCACATGGATCAGCCACCAGGGAGCAAGGGATGACAAAAAAAAAAGCTGTGTTCTGGAACTGCCTCCAGAGCAACCCTAAAAGGCTCCATATTAAAAGCATGGCACCAAGCACAGACACCCGGGGGGCTCTACACATTTCCAAGCCATTCCTAAATAGCTGGTTTGCTTTTTAATTTCTGCCAGGCTGTTGGTAAGGGCTGGGAGCACTGAGACTGCAAACTGGAGTGTCAGGCAGAGACACCAATGGCTCCACTCACTGTGAAACACAGCAGGGGACTGTTCAGCCCAATTTTCCCTGCACTGGAGCTCCCTGACAGCAAATTCCAGGGACCATTTCCACCCATGACTCACAGACTAGTCCACAGCATGGTCTGAACAGCAGGACAGGCCTGAGCTCTCCAGGGCTCCTGCAGGGAAATCCTCACTTCACCATCCTTTGCTTTGTGCCAGGGGTGACACAGCTGTCACAAAAGGCTCACTTAGAGGCAGGGGCTGGCCGGTTCCCAGAATCCAGGGAACAGACTCTCTTGGAGCAACCTGGCAGCTCTAGCTCAGCCCAAAACATCACCCTAATTTTTCACCAGGCATTACAGTCCTCTCCCTCCTTGTCTGAAGCTTGGACACTGCCAACCCCTCTTCCCAAAGGAATGGGAACCAACCACCTTGTTTGCTCCTCTTCCCCACTTCTCTGACTTACCTGTCTGGGAAACCAAGACTTGGCTGTGGTGCCTCCTCCTTTATCCCAAGTCTGGAGCACATCACACATGGCCCCATCCAGAAAGACACAGGCACTGCCACGGGGCTCTGGCCCTTCAGAAGCAGCAACACAGCAGGGCTGAGTCTCCTGCAAAACAAGAAAATGCCAGAATTTGCAATTGTGTTTGCCATATATTTGAAAGACCTGCTGCCCCAGCTTCCCCTGAGGGGCAGTGTTGTGCTGGGACACATCCCAAAAGTTTTCTGGTAGCAGCCAGAGGCTTCCCACACCATTTTCCTTCCCTATTCTTTATCAGTGGTTTTTTTTTTTTTTTTTTTTTTGGCTTTTTGCTGCTCGTGTTCATTTGATTGTTTCCTTTTTAATGAGTAACATCCTTGAACCGTCCATCAGCTGTACAGGCCCCTGGGCCCTGGCAGGGCAGTCCCACCCCAGAGCCAGGACCTGGAGTTCCCCCACAAGCCCCTTTCCTGGCTCAGGTTTTGGTGCCAGCCCTTCCTCGCTCTGGGTCACCAATGCTGCATGTTTAATTTGGCAATGCTGGCATTCCACAGAGCTGTAACATCAGCCTTCAGGAGCCCCATCAAAGGTAAATACTCATCTGCAACACTGACACTGGAAGTGGAGGTGACGCCAGGGAATTGCCCTGAATGCAGTGTTTGTAACCCCAAACTGTTCTAAGTTGCTGGATCAACCCCTTCGGGGCTCTGTGGTCCCACGGGATTTGCTGGGAGCAGTCTCCCCCCAGCAGCTAGGCTGGGTCTCATCCCACCCCATCCCGTGCCCAGGAGGCACTGGGAAAAGGCAAGGGGTGCTCCTCAGTGTGCTGAGCCACTGCTTGAGCAGCAGAAATTTTGGGCAGAGATACTCATCTCCCAGCAGGGTGGGGAGGGAGTGAGGTGGCCTTGTGGGGCAGGTGGAGGGTCCTGGGCAGACAGACCCCGCTCAGCCCCCCAGGGAGGGGTCCCTCTCAGGGAGCTGGAGCCCTAGCGCCGTGGGGGCTGAGCCTGTTCCAGCGGGATTGTGCAAACTCACACCTCTGTGAGGTGAACTTGGTCCCAAACCCCGGCGCTGCACTTTGCTCTCCCACTGCAGTGACCTCACGCCGGCTCCCTGGCAGCGTCTAAAGTCCAGGGAGGGGGTGCTTTACCTGCCTCCCACCCAGGGCAGCTCGATCCCACTGCTCCCCGCTCCCCGAGGGCTGGAGTGCAGCATGAGGCTGCTGCTGCCGGCAGCGCTGCTGTGCCTGGCCCTGGGGCGCTGCTCCGAGGGGGCAGCGCAGGAGAGCACCGGCCAGCAGGATCCACGGGCAGAGTCATCCTACTCCGACTGGGGCATCGACACCATCCGGGACGGCTTCGAAACGGTCAACAGCTACTTCGACTCCTTCCTGGAGCTGCTCGGGGGGAAGAACGGGGTCTGTCAGTACAGATGTCGGTACGGTGAGTGACCTCGCTGCTGCTGGCTCCCCTCTCCTTCCCCCTCTCAGCGCTCCCCTTCCCCGAGGCCACAACCAGCTCCTCCTCTCCACGATCTGCCCCTCGCTGTGCTCGGCACAGTCACAGCTTCTGTGCCCGCACAGAGATCCTGAGCCCTCACCTTACCCGTGCCCAAGAACAGCCCCCGTGTAGGGGGCGGCAGGAGAGGACACAGGTTTGGCAGGAGGGGCACGCAGGTACCGAGGCTGCCGGGAGCCCTGGAGAGGAGCAGGGTGGGCAGAGAGGCCCCCCGAGGGGAGGCTGAGCCCGCGGCCCCAATCTCAGCAACCTTAGGAGTGTCCTTATCCAGCAGCTGTGAGCTGGCCAATGCCGTGGGCTGGAGGAGGGGAGAAAACAGGGAGGAGACCGGGGGGAACCTTTAGTACTGGCGGTGGAAATGAGGCAGCTCCCGCTTGCCTTGGTCTTTAGAGTGATTTACCAAAAAGGAGCAATTTGGTTTGTCCCGGGGGACAGGAGGGAGGGGGTCTCAGGGAGGGCAGGGCAGGGCACGGGGTGTGCAGAGCTGCAGGTCTGCGGGGTGGCAGACACGGGCAGCACCAGCCATCAGCGGGGTACCCGCTGAAACAACCTGCCTGGGAGCAAGCAAGGAGGCTTCCTACAGACTGTATCCTCTCCCCAGCCTCCTGCAACTGTCCCCACAGCAAATCTTGTCCTCTGTCACCTGAGCCTTCCCAGCTCAGGCTGCCTCCCTGCAGCAGCTCAGGAGGGCCACAGGCATCCCCCAGACACATCCCACAGCATCCCCCCACAGCACGAGGCCACGTGCCCGTGGGGCAGCCTGTCCCCGTGTCACAGTGTGGCAGTGACAACCTCCCAAAGGTCCCTACCGTGCTCCAAATTCAGAGCAGAAAGGGGCCTGCCTTTCTTAATGTAAAGGCTGAAACCCCTTTCAGCAGTGGGAATAGGGTGGCTGGGGCTGCAGCGTGCCTGAGGCAACGCTGGTATTCAGAGGTGGTTTCAGGGAGCCTCAGGACTCACCAAATCCTGGAGAAGTCATTGCTTTTGGACACATCCTTAGGGCTCTCCCTGCCTCTGCCCCTGTGAACAGCATCTCCAGACAGCAGCACAAACCCCTGCCCCCGAGAGCGTCCCGTGTTTTACTGGAGCAGTTTTACCTAGAAAGGAAAACGAACAAGCACATCATTATCCCAGTTCTCATCCTCTGCTGAACAGCTCATCAGTCACTGGCTGAAGGAGGAAATTACTGAAACTTCTGCCAATGTGCCTCCAAGGGTCTTGCTGGACCCTTCCAGGACCATTTGTCCGTGCCATTCTCTAGCACAGACATTGCAAACTGTGAGTGCTGAAGGTGCCAGGATGATCCCACACCAGTGAGATCTAGCCTGTGCCCAAAAGAACAAACACAAACCATCTTTATGCTGAATCAGGGCCTGAATGCTTTCTTCCCCAGGCAAGAAGAAAAAAAATTATGTCTTCTACTTTCTTCCATTTCACCCAAGAAATACCAATAATAGCTTATTTTGCCCCAGAAAAGGTCAGGACTCACCTCTGATTGCCACATCCATCTTCAGCTGAGCACATGACACCTGGCTCTAAGACTCTCCCTATTTTTTCAGCAGCTACTGAGGTCTGAAAACAAACGACTTGATGGATTATTCCCTTAAATCAGGACATTAGGGTTACACTGGCATTCACTGACAAACAGCTCCTCCTGCTTACAAAGTCCCTCTGGGCATCTCAGGGGAAACAAAGAGCCTGAGCTGGGAGCAAAGCCCTTGTAGCTTCCTTCAGCTCCCTGAGCAGGCAGGACTTCAACGCTTTGCCCAGCATTTGGCCCTGAAGGCCTTGAGATGAGGAGGCACCTCCGGGCTGTGGGAAAAGAGCCTTCAAAGTCCGGCTCTCCAGCACTGCACTGAAAGGCTGTGGGAAGCACGGGGGAACCTCTGCTCAAAGCCTGCCTGGGGCACAGAAACAACAATGGACCACCCAAAACCGCCAGGAGCACCGAGACCATCCATTCACAGCCAGAAATACACTCACCTCCCCCTGCCAGGGTCCCAGCACTGCAGTGTCTGAGACCTCCTGCATCACCAGCAGCTGCTCCAGCCAACTGGCTGCTTTCCAGCCCCTTGGAACAGCTGCAACAGCCTGCAGACATTAAAATGCATCAGGGAAACTCAGCTTCAGCTCCGAGGCTCTGCCAACAAGGCAGTGCCCTGGAATATATTTTCTTGCCTGCAAGGATGGGCAAGCAATAAGTGGTAACAGGAGCAGGGAGTTGATGCTCGCAGAGAGTTTGGAACAGAACGCCTGGTATTTCTGATTTGCTTTTGTTTTCCTGCTAACTACAAAACAAGGCGTGGGAGAGAGGTTAACAGTGGTGTAAGAGTTCACAAAGAGGCACTTTACAAATTATTAAGCTCTGTTTTCAGAGAGGATGGGGGGGGGAGGCGGGTTTCCTACAAGGGCTCATCTTGAAGGCAGTTCAGTGTTTTGTTGATCACCACGACTCTCACGTGAGGGTTTTTTTTCTCAGGACAACTTTCCAAGGCATTCCAACAGCTGTGACTTCAGCTTAATGCAAGGTTTGCTCTGGAAACAGAGTTATCTGGGGCTTGGAACTAGATGAAGGAGCTTGGAACTCTCCATATCCCTAAACAGTCTCACCCCTACTCTGACTCAGCTTATGCCATTTAATTGGCAATATGCTGCAGGAACAGAACTTACTATCAGTATTACAAGCAAGTCATTCCAATTTGACTCCATCCTGCAAAACCCACTGTGGACTTTGACCTTTGTCTCCTACCTCAGCTCAGGAACATTTGAATTCTGAGTCCCAACAAGGCTCATTTGGAAGGGGAAAATCGGCTGTTAGCATCTTACAGCTGGACAGGATTTCAGTTTGTTGTTTATTTGTTGCGAATCTGTTATTTAAACTAAACCACCCTGGCAATTTTTAACTGAGCAGGTGCTGGGAACACTCCTACATAAGACCTTTTGAGGCATTTGGCTGTGAGGTCTTCTCAAGAGCACAGTAGATTTATGGCTATATTAACCACTGGCATTTTAGGTACCTCAACACAAAAAAGGGGAAGGAGTCCTAAATAATTATTGGTGCTGACAAGGAGAAAGCAGTGGAAATTGAGTTTAAAAGAACCCAACCCTGTCTGAAGGGCCGAACTAGATCCATTTAATGTCTATATAAATTCTCTGGCAGCGCTCAGGGAAGTAGAAACTTAACCCTTCATGTGCTGGACTTACAGAAGACTCAGCTTACATGTTTTTGTTGGAACATTCACACAGCTTACAGTGCCCTCCCAGAGCAGTGACAGCTCCTGAGGGAATGGCTGGAGCTGTGTCAGGGCAGGGTCAGGTTGGATCTCAGGGAAAGGTTCTTCCCCCAGAGGGTGGTTGGCACTGAACAGGCTCCCCAGGGCAGTGGGCACAGCCCCAAGGCTGCCAGAGCTCCAGGAGGGTTTGGGACATGGTGGGATTGTTGGGGTGTCCGTGGCAAGGCCAAGAGTTGGGCTGGATGATCCCTCTGGGTCCCTGTTGGAAGGGATATCCTGATCCCTTCCAACTCAGGATATTCTGTGACAAATGTCTTGTTTTAACACCTCACTCTGCACTAGAGATCCCCCTTTTATAAACCCAGCTGGGACAGAAACAAGCACTGAGCACACACTGGGGGGGGAGTTCAGAGAAACCCAGCTCCCTGAGGGCGCCCACAACTTCTCCAGGGGATAAACCTCTCCCACCTTTAAACACACTCCTTGCACAGCAGGACCAAGGCACACAAGCAGCCTGGAGACTCGTCCTCCCCAAACAGGAGACATTGGCTTAGATGGAGATGGGGGTGAGGTGGGGATGAGAGACAGAGGATGAGACAAGGCAGGGAATAGCCACATCTCCTTTCCACACAGAGTGTTATCTCTCCAGTCCTGAGCAGCCACCCCTCAGCCATCTACTCTGTCAGTGCCTGCACACCTTCAGAAATCCAATTAAAATGGTTAAAATGCTGCTGGAGCTACTTATTGTTTGCTGGACTCTTTCTACATTAGGTAAATAATTATTCACAGAGGGAATTCTTGCTCCTTTATGCATATTAAGAAGCAGACCGAGGGAGGTGCAGGGATTAAAGGAACAGAAATGATTTGCAAAACGTGGCAGTGCATCACCATCGGCAGAAAATGGACCAAGGAGACCTGCTCAGAGCCAGATCAGACATGCAAGGTCTAACGCAATTTTGTGGAGCCCCACAGCACACCAAAACTCCAAGAAAGACCTGAGGGTGGAAAGAAAGCACTTGCTAAGCAAGTGGTGTAAGTAGTGGCTTCTTGCAGGAGTTAAAACCCCACCTGGGTGCAGAGCGCTCAGGAGGAACATTCCTGGACCAGAATGAAGCAGGGATTTGGGGATGCAGACCAAAGGGGAGCTGCCTGCCACTCCTTGCTTTTTGGTGCTGCCTCTTGGGAAGAGGGGCTTTCCTAACCCTTGTCCTTCCTTTCTCAGGGAAGGCTCCGATGCCGCGGCCTCACTACAAACCCCAGGAACCCAACGGCTGCGGCTCCCACTTCCTGGGGCTCAAGGTACCCGAAAGTGTATGTACTGCCACACCCCCCCCATTCCCAAATGGGGCAGCTCCCTAATCACAAAGCCAGCTAATAATCCTGGGAAGAGAGAAGGGAACACGCTCAGCGCTGCACACAGCAATACCTGAGTGCATCTTCCACCCCCTCCCAGCCTTTTTGCCTCTGCTGAGCACTGAATTAAACACACCGGGCTCCGATGCTGCACCTGCCTGTTATTTTAAGGGCAGTTAATGAAATCCTATTGGAATCGCTGGGAGAGGCACTCCCAGGAGGGTATCAGAGCAGGAATTCCTCCTTAGCTCATGCAGCAATCAGGCAGATTCCTGCTCTGAAGGCCCCTCTCCTTGCAGCCCATTTTTCGTGTTAGGTTTAGTCCCTCTAACTCTGCCTCGTTGCAAACCTTGTGGGTATGTCTGTGGTACCTCCTCCTGACACGGGCAATCACGGAACAATTCATCTCCTAAATATTACATGAGGAAGGCCAAAAAGGAGGAATAATTTATAGCAAGTTAACGAGTCCAACCTCTCCAGAAGACAAGCCTTCTGCCCCCTCACTCCCGTGGTTATTAGCTGAGCTTGCTGTTTACTCCAGGAGAGCAGAACTCCTGTGACCACGCCGTGTTCGTCCTTGGCCTCACAAGTGCATCTCTGAGAAATAAGTCATTAGAAACGCTTATGGCAGATTTATTAGGCCAAAAAGCAGGACTTGTTACGTTTTGGGAGAAGGGGGAAAGAGGAAAAAAAGGGGCTTTTGCCACTGCTGGCAAGGACATAGAGCTCTCTGATGAGCTCTTACAAATGAAAACCAGCAAATGGTCATGAAGGGGCTGTTCCCCATCTCTCTACCGTCTGTGGCAGAGAGGGGAGAAGGGAATGTGAACTACCCTGCACTGAACCTGCACCACTGTCACCACTTTCTTCAGATGGTGAGGGAGCAGCGCACGTTCCCTCCCGCTGCCCCAGCTATCCTGGGTAACTTCTGGAGGAGGAGCCAGCTGGGCTCCGCAGCACCTCGCCCCGTCACAGCTGCGTGAGCCTGAGGCCAGGACACAGCCCAGGGACACGTCCTTTTCTCTCTCCCCAGCTAGATTTGGGCATCCCTGCCATGACCAAGTGCTGTAACCAGCTGGACATTTGTTACGACACCTGCGGGGCCAACAAGTACCGCTGTGACGCCAAGTTCCGCTGGTGCCTCCACTCCATCTGCTCCGACCTCAAGCGCAGCCTCGGCTTCGTCTCCAAGGTCCAAGGTGGGCTTCCCAGCTGGCATTCCCTGTGGAGGGGACCAGAGGTGGCAGGGAGGGGAGGGTGAGTGCAAGGAGCCCTTTTTCCTTGCCGAAAGAAGCAAAAAAAAAAAAAAAATCGGCAGTAGGGAGCAGCACTTCTGCCCTGCGCTTGTCACTGGTGGGTCAGAGTGTCTGTCCCGAGACTGGAGATCCACGGGTGTTTTTGCATTTGGAAAACATTAATTAATATGTAGAAAGGAAAAAAAAAAAAACCAACAAACAAAAACTAACAAAAAAACGCTGGAAGCAATTCCTTCAAAGCTTGGATGCCCTCCCAGAGAGTTTAAACACAGGATACCAAAAACTTTCCAGAGCCAGTAAAGCCACACACACTGAACCTGTCCTGTGCATGTGGCCAAGGGCCAACAAACTGGGAGAGCCAAGGACAGGACTCCCTGGGATCTGTTCCCAGATAAGAGATGCTGATGGCACCAGGGACACACCACAGTGTGGGTGGTGGCTGAGCCATAGCTGAGCCATCCAGGGCAGATCTGGATTGCCCAGAAGTGCTAATGAAAGCTCTAGTGATGTGTCAGCAGCTCAAGTGCCACCCTGGTTTTGCCTAATTTTAAAAGCCTCGTTCTGCAAGTCCGAGACGAGCTTTTTGGCAAGGGCTGTGTTTGGTAATCTCTGCTGATGCCCTGCTGTAAGGTATCCTTAAACATGCATTTGCTTTCCAAAGGTACAGCCTGATTAGGACACGTGGGAGGTCTGTAACACCAGTGCTAGTGCAGATGGCTCCCCACCCGTGTCACTTCCCTGGGATCCTCTCCACTGAGTCACCAGGAGCTCAGGGAGAGCAGGCAGGGGAAGAGCAGCTGCACTCCCTTTGTGTGGGCACAAACACTCCAGCTGCAGCAGTGCCAGTTTACCAAAGCCTTGGTTTTCCCACTGACTCACCACAGCCTCTTCAGCTCCTAAAGGAGCAGGAGCTCCATGCTGCTCCGAGAGCCTGAGATGGGAGAAGACAATCCCAAAGGCAAGGCAAGGCTTTCCCAAATTTATACAACAATCAATGTTACGCCAGTGAGTAAACCCTAAAGTCCTAATAATAACCAATTATTTACTGACAAGCAGTTTCAGGGTTGTTTTTTGGGATGAGGAGGGGCTAGGAGTCAGGCACTCAGCTGTTCCAGCTGCAGGAGGGTTTTTCATGCTGGCATCGTAACTCCCCAAAAGCACAAAAAGGTTGGTTAATAGTGGCTATTGGCTAAACTGAGGGGAGAGGCAGCCAGGAAAGACAGCAGAGTGTGGAGGTCTCCTGGGAAATCTGCTTGGTAAACAGTGCTGTTTGCAGAGCCCCTGGTGATCCATCAACCACTAAAGCCTGAGAGAGGCAGGAAAGGAGGGGGGCGAGAGAAGGGAGAAGAGGGAGAGAAAGAACCCCCAGCTCCGCATAAGGGGATGTTGGGGTTTGTAAGGATGCAATTCCCAGGGGAAGGGGTGAGAGCCCCCAAGGTTCCCAAACCCCAAACCCCAGGGAGCTCAGCGGGGTGCCACCACTCACCTGCCTGGCCCTGTCCTTGTCCCCAGCCTGCGAGTCCGTGGCAGACACCGTGTTCAACGCCGTGTGGACCCTGGGCTGCCGGCCCTTCATGAACAGCCAGAGGAGCGCCTGCATTTGCAGCGAGGAGGAGCGGGATGAGCTGTGAGGAGCAGCAGCCGCCGCCAAGGGTCTCCTCCCCGCACAGTGACTCCTGTCATCCCTCCGGGACAGGGGGGGACCCGGGCCACGCCACTCACACCAACCACAGCCCGTGGGCAAAGCGGGGACAGCCTGGGAACACGGGGCAGCCATGCCTGCTGTCCACCAGACACAGCTCAACAGCCCTGCTGCCCCTTCCCAAGGCCAGCAGCCTGGCAGAGCCGATGCCAATCTTCTCCGTGGACTGACCAGGGGAGGCAAGCAGGATGCAGTGCTGGTTATAAACAAGGGGCTTTACCTCAAACACTCATCTGTGAGCTCCCCCCGCCCTGGAACTCTCTAATTTGCAGTGCGAGGCATCAGGTTTCTGCAACCCCTGTGAAATTCCCGGTCCACGGACACGCTATTTACATTTTTCCACCACCGGTGACAGACTGAAGAGGGGTAATTTGCTTTCAGTACATTGCTCACACCCATCCCTGACGTTTTCCATCCCATCACTGCACACCCTGACAACTCTGCATATTTAAATATTTGGTGGATCCTAAAGCAATTTAAAACATCTGGAGATTCGATAAACACGAGAAGGACCTGAGGTGTTTGTGACAAAGGCATAACTCACATCTGGGACCAAAGCCCATCACTTCTCAGATGCAAAATCACAGCCCTCCCCCTCCAGCCTCAGGAGATGAAGCTGCTTTTCTTTGGCAGCGTCATCCACACCCATTTAATTATTTTCCTCCTATACCATTTAACAAAGCTTTTCCCTTCGGATCCCCTCTGACACGAAATGGCTGGGTATCCACTCCCATCTTTTGCACAAGGGAAACAGGAGGCTCCCCAGTGGCCTTTGGATGAGATATTCCAAATTCTGGAGGCTTATCTGTCAGATGACAGGGCTTACGTGCTACCTCTGTGGGGCTGCTATCAGCAGCCTCAGACACCGCTCCTTCCAAAACGTGGTTAATGCTCCCCATCTGTTGTGGGGAGCTTTTATTGCATGCGAAATTAAAGTGGTATATGGCATCTCATCTCCACGTAGCATTGGCAAACTGCTTTCAGATGGGTTTCTTGTTGAAAGGAAGTTGTCACCAGGTGCTCGTGCCGTGCCACGTAAATATTTCAGCAGCTTCTGCAAACATATTTATGGTTATGTTCTTCCATCTGCCACGGAGAAGTTTAGGCTGCAGAAGGGCGATTTAACCGGAGTGGAAAGAGTCTGTCTTAGTTACTTTTCTTCCAGTTTGGCTCTAAACGTGTGCACGGAGCTATAAATTAATCAAGGCCCGTATTTCTGTTCTCAGCAGCCATCTTTGCTTCCCAGAGTACAGCAGTGAGGTGTTCAACCCGCCCCAAACAGGCTGAGACAACCAGAGCCCACTGGTATCCAGACCAGGAAAATGGAAGTGACTGCATGGGGTGTTTTCTGTTATGGAGGACCTTAATTTACACTGATCAGACGCGATGACATCCTTTCCCAGCTGGGCTAATGCCACTGGAGAGGAACATCGCTGTGTGTGTCTGTCTGCTCAGACAGCCTTGATTATCCATCTAAGAAACACAAGCTTTTGCCTGGGGATGGGAAGGAAACATCCCTCCTTCCAGACACTTCCCAAACTCTGCATTTTGTTGGTGAAATGGGGCCTGCTGCCTGTTGAAATGTGAACACACTCTTATGATTAAATGACAAGGAAATTAAAGAGTCCATATTGTCCACACTCAACGGCCAACTGGCTGGCAAATGTCTTCAAATATTTTACAGCTCAAATGACATCAGATTAAAGGCAAGCAACTGCTGGCAGGTAATGACATACACTGGAGAAATCAGAGGGTGCTGAACAGAATCTCTCTGTGCAGACGCTGATGCGTTGGAGACGCCGCTAACACAAATCAGAATTTCTTCAGCCTTTCAGACCACCATTCATCCCCAAACCCTAGGTCAGTGCACGAACCTTGGGTCGCCTTCACTCCCACCCTGCTCCAGACAGGAAGATGACACTGAGCTCACCTCCGTGGGCCCTCCACAGACAGCAGTCTCTGTTTCCACTCTGTTCCCTTCCCCAGGCAGGGACCAGGACAGCAGGTAAATAGGTTTTTGTACCTGGGCATTCCAAGCCACAGAAATCTTGGATATCCCAATCCAGATGACTTAGCTAAAGAGCTGCAGAGTGGAAAAGCTGCTTCATGTGAATTTGCCAGGAAGAGCTAAATAAGGTGCACAATAACTGAAACATGCCAGGAAAGGAACCTCTCCCTCCATCACTCCCCCACATCCCTCTCACACGAACAAACACCACCGGTTGCCTCTCCAGAAGGCCCCAGATCATTAACTTAATTTTCCAGCACTTGTTTTATCAAAACAAGTATATTTAGCAAGGGCTGCCTGAACAAAGAAGTGACAGCAGGAAACTGCCCGTGTGGTCCTAATGCAGATGTGAATCAGCAGAACAGCAATCCTAGGAGGAGGTTTTTTCCTCTCTTTTTCTTTCACATATGGCTAGATAACACATGAACAGTGTCTTTCCACTTAGACTTACTTATCATCATAGAAATGATGATTTACTCTCACATATACACATATTCCCAGATTGGAAAAGCAGCCATGGAGTCATTTAGAAAAGTCATGAAAACTCTCAGCCCATTAAATGCCCATTCCTCACTGGAATCTCACTCTCCAGAAGAAATAAATCCGTGAAATGGAATATTGCTGAGGTGATTTGTGACTCCCTTCTAAATGATCCCTTCAAACAGGCTCCCCACCCCTTTGAAAGCAGCAACAAATCTTTTTTGCAGTAATTTGGCTGCCTTCAGCCAAAGCAGAACACAGGTAATGAAGGATAGGGAGGCTTCCAGCAGACCTCCAAACACACGGGATGGAGCTGCACGAGGAGAAGCCTCTTGCAGAAAACCTCAGGAACACATTGCAGTGCCACAGCTGGTGGTGGAGACGGATCCTTCCTCTTTCATCCTCATTCCTGCCTCTCCTTTGTCCTTCACTGCTCACTGGGCCTCCTTCCTTTCACACCACAACCCCAATCCTTCACCTCAGAGCCCTCCTGCTCCTGAATGAAGCCCAGAGGAGCCCCAGCTGATCATTCCTTGTGTTTCCTTTGGAAGGAGCTCGACAGCCCCAAGAGACTCCTGACAACCACAATGCCACCAGTCACTGTGTCCCCAGCCACAGTCACTTGAACAGCCCTGCTTGGTGTCTCCTGTCACCAGGGGACAGCCCTGTCCTCAGAACTGCCTACATTACAAGTGATTGCTATAAATAATTGCTGTGCATTCCTCTAATCCCTTTGCTGGAGCCTCACATGTTCCAAACAAACACTTGGTAGCAGCACGCCTGAGACGGGGGGTGTTTATAGATTTTTAATGGTGCTTCTCTTACAATCAGTGTGCCAGGGCACTCGGGAAAGGCATTTTTGGTGGTGGGAGAAGAGGGAGAGAGATAATGATACACTAAATACTATTAAACTGCATGCAATTATCAAAAGACACTAAAAAAAAATCAAATCTTATTAAATAGCTTTCCCCCTTTAAAATAACATTTAAATGTGCCTGTGATAGAGCTGAGCTTTAGCTGCCTGCAATGACAATTGTACAGCTCCAGGGAATTTACACATGACGAGACAGAATATTTTATACTTGTTTTTATTAACAGTCACCCCAAAGCTTCAGCATCGCTCACAGAACCGCACAGCAAACACGTTCAGCTACGATACTATTTGTACTGCCTGATGCAAGAAGGCCTCAGATAACATTTGTTTAGTCAAGGACGAACAGTCCTGGAGCCTGCAGGCGGATGTAGGGAAAGACAAAGGTGGGAAACACCTCAGGCCTGCAAAGCAACAGGGTCCCTCCAGCCCAAGGGTTGAAATGCTGGGAAGAAACGCAGGTAAAATCAAACTATTCTGCAGTCCAGGTGTCCAAAACACAAATAATCATCACAGGGTTAGGAAAAACGAGTCCTGAGGTGCAAGTGGGGCTTTGCCAAATCCCCCTTGTTTCTCAAAGGGCCAGGACAGAAGGCATTGATAAGGAAGGCACTGATAAAGAAGGCATTGATAAGGAAGGCACTGATAAGGAAGGCCGGTCTCTCGGGGCAGAGATGCCATTCCAGAGGGTGAGTGTCAGTCATCAAAGTCGATTCTGATGGGGCCACCTGTCAGGACGTGGTTTGCCACGTGGACAGATCCCTTCTCCTCCTCCTCTTCCTCGTCGCCGGCCGCCCTGCGCACGCGTCTCCGGCAGCCCTGGGCGCAGCGGGAGGTCTCGTCCAGGGCCCCGCACACCAGGATGCGGCAGTGCAGGAACACCTCCTGGGGGTGGGGAGACAGCAGGATGGGGTCAGCACTCTGGGAATAATCACTGGCACCGCTGCCACGGCACAGGCACTCCTGTCCCCGAATCGACGGGGTCTGTATCCACCATCACCACCCACGGCCAAACCGGCCGCTCCGTCTGCTCTCAGATGAGATCTCAGAGCACGGCATCTGCCTGTGAGCCAAGGGTGGACACACAGGGAAGATGAAGGCGTGAAATGACCCTCCAGAGGAAGGGATGGAAACGCCAGGAATAAGCTTGGAAGAGCTTGCATGGACTGGCAGGAGCTGCATGGCAGGAGGCAGGTCAGGAACGCGTGGAGAGATGGGCTGAGAGAAATGTGCAAGAGGATTTGAAGTGGGCTGAGAAAACATGAAGCTAAGAATCTGAGGGGAAAAGGAGGAAAAGGCAGGGTGATGAGGGGCTGAGTTGAGGGAAGGAGGAGAATGCGCAGAGCAGGGAGACAGCTGCCTTGTCATCCTGCACAGCAGAGGCAGAGGCAGCATTGCTGCTCCCTGCCCAGTAAATGACAAGGAGAAGAAGCAAGATCCCTGCAAGCAGCAGTCACAAATACATGGTCAATGGTGAGGTCTGAAGCGGAATCCACGGCTCAGGCTGGGAGGATGCAGGGTGGAGACAGCAGTGGCAGTCAGACGGCCGAGAAAAATTTCAGAATTTTGGAAGATCTCGTTTGTTTTAACCCTGCTGGGGCTCTCTGGTAGCTGGAGCAGCAGCTTTATACCTTGTGGAGTAAGCAGTGTTGGCTGAGCATAACAATGACTGGAAGACCCAGTTTATTCCAGCCCAGAAAAGGAAAGCTATTTGCATTAGGGAAAGGGGATGGATTATCCTTCAACTGCCCTCCCACTACTGAGCTTCTGCCTCAGAGTGCCCCTGGACAGCCGGCTTTCACACTGAACTGAACAGTGTGGTGACCTTGCATCTGGAGTCCTGGCATCTAGGACCTAGAGAAGGTCCTAGAAACCAAAACCTAGAGAAGACATGAGGTTGAAGAGATTCCAAACTGCAGACTGTCCTGTTTCAAAGACAGGACACTGTAAAATGTGCCTGGTCACTGGGAACTCCTCTCTCACCCGGCATGCGGAGTGAAGGGGGTTTGCACTAAGACCACCCTGGACACAACAATGATTTTAGCCCGCTATGGCATTGATGTTCCACAACTTCATTTTAGTTGTTTTTCTCAGTCTGTCCTAAAGCACCTGTGTCAGGCTCCTGAAAGACACAACTGCTGGAACAGGCACAGCAGCAGCACCTGCCTTGGGCCAGCCACTCCTCCCCTTTGCACTCTCAACACCCTGGTGCTGAGGTTCCTGGGTCAGATCAGAGCTGATGCAATCACCTGAGAGCTGAGGTTTGAGCTTACCCTGTTGTCTTTGCCCACGAACTTGAACACAGGAACCTGGAAGTGCTTGGCAAGATGGTCCTTTGACGTGTACTGCTTCACGGAGTCATCGGACACGCAGCTGAGGGAAGCAGAGGGACAGGCTTTTAATGGCTTTCCCAGAAGTGGAAAAAGAAAAAGACATTCCAGCCTACTTAAAGCAGAGAAAGGAAAGGAGGGCTTGGCTCTCTCAAGCTGAGCTACCATCCCTGCTACTTCCTCTTTGGCCACAGGAGAAAATTCGGGAACGGTGGGGGGAAAACAACAGCAGTGCTAATAGCATCTGCAGACAAAGGACAGCTCAGCAGCAGAGAGCTGGCAGGACGTGGCCCAGTCCCCTCAGAGAGGGACTGCCAGAGAGCTGCAGGCAAGTTTGTCCTCATTTCACCTTCCTGTGCAACAGCCTGCAGTGTTATACACTGTTGAATGTGTTATGTGCTTTCTGTGTACACATATATATGCACATAAATTATGCTTAAAATGTAGCCTGTACACACGTTACCAAAATATCACAGATGATGAAAGCAACAAAAATCCAGATTTGCTTTGCTTTGTACCATTTACAAATGTATCATTTACATTTATATTTCTTCCTGCTGGATTTGGTCAGACAGCTCAAATTCGTTGCACTAAAATGAATAATTTCAATTTTTCCATCACTAGCAATATATCATCATGCTCTCTGTAGAGGAGAGCAGCACGTGCTCCTGGGAGCACTAAGCACTGCTCTGATCCCACCAGCATTATTTTCACCACCATGCAATTCTCCATTTCTCCATGGTCTGAAGGGATATCCCTGTCTGCAGCACTTCCCTGGAGGTAGACACAAAACCCAGCCCCAAAGAGCTGATAAATCACCACCCTGCATCTACAGAAAAGGACAGATTCCTGCCCCCTGAGGCCAAACACCCTCAGTTGCTTAGGATAAAACTGCTGTTAAAAGTAGCACTCCTGAAGGCATCTGATTGTAAGGAATGACAGTTAAAAGACTTTTCATAAGGTGACTGGCCAAGCTTTGGGGCTGTGAAGTCAACTGGTAGGGCTGTCCTCATTTGTGAGCATATCAGCTGTGATGGTTCCCGGCTCAAACTGACTCCTAAACCTCGAGTTCTCCAAAGGTTTGCCATCCCGGTGGCAGGAAACGTACTGGTTTGGGGTTAGGGAGAGGGGAGATGGGAGAAGATCACGGAAGAGTCAGGGATATATGGATAAAACCAGCTCAGAAACCTCCTGAGTTGTGGGAACAAGCCCTTTTGCATTTTGTGTGGGGCTATACCCTAAATCCACTCTCCTAGGAAACCCCCAGACCCTGTCTGCCACCTTGGAGGGGTAGGAAAGGACAGGGAGCACAGGTAAGGAAGGAAAACGGGTGAGCCTGGTCAGGATACAGGGAAAATAACCCTTTTCTGTGCATATTGTGCTTTAAGTTCAGGAAGCAGAGTGGCAGTGCCACGGGAGCTCTGACCACTCTTACTGGGGAGGTTCTAAGGTAGAAAGGAGGGCTTGGAGAATAAAACATCCACCTAGAAATGTGCAGGTCTGATCCTACATAATCAAACTGATTCAAAAATCCCATCTTTATTGCCCTGGGCTTTTGGGGCAGGGTTGCTGGAAGGAAAGTGGGTTATTGCAGAACTGTCTGCAGCAGGGACAACTCAGCAGTGTATTTATTCAGCTAATTTTACTTTTGAACGGCTGCAAGCACAGGGAGAGACAAAGAACCCCAGTTAGCTCGACAGCACATCGTTAGTGAGCAGTTTAAATACAACTGCGCAGCCCATGGGGGTGGTGAGTCTGGGGACACTGGGGGCTGCAGAGAGGCTGGAGAGAGGAGCAGGCTGGATGAGGCTCCAGCCCACTTTTCCCTTCGGTGAAGTTTTAATGCCCTCTGCAGGTACCAAGGGGCTGCTGGTGCCGTAAATCCTCCAACCAGCGCTGGGGTGAATTTAAGGGATGACATTTTCTGCCTTCTCCCTTCTCCATCTGGCTTTGTTTGCTGTTTTGAATCCCATCATTTTCGCTCATGAGGAGAAATTAATGAATGTTTGGAGCCTCGACTCAGCGAAGGGTCCACGGGAAGAGCCAAGGCAGGGAGTCAATAAAATCAATTCTCCCATTACAAATGTGCTCATAAAGCCCAGAAATGTCAGGCACAGAAGGACTGCAAGCCTAGGATGGAGGGAGAGCTGAACCCTTCATCAGGAGATGAAAACAGAGTTTCTGGGTACTTTACACTGCAGGACCCTTTTGCTGTGAGACAACCACACAGGACTTGTCATCACCAGCTGTAAGGGTGGGTGATTTAGCCTGGGCAGCTGAGGAAATAATTGTTGTCCTCATCAGACAGTCTGGCAGACAGCATACAGGGCTTACACAAACACAGTGTCTTGACTGCCAGGCTACACCACTTCGGGTACGCCTTAGACATTCCCTTGGCTGGACTCTCCTCCCCACAGGAACAGCAGACTGACATTTTCACAGCCCTGTCTGGTTAAGCTCCTGCATGCAAACACTCCACAGCAATGCTGTAGCATGGCACAGTCATGATGCCTGAAAACAGGGATCATCTTAGGAGCCACAGCTGAGACCCCAGCAGTGTTCCCCAAACCTCTGATGCAAAACCCACCCCAGTGAACCCACAGATCCACATACAGTTATTTTTGGCATATCCTGCAAAGATCACTAACCCCAAACACCGCAGGAAACTACATCCAAACTGAGGGATCCTAAGCTTGCTGCACTGGCATCGGAGAGAGGGATGCTCCTGGAGCTCCAGCTAGGATCAGCCTTGGAATCTTCTGGCTGTAAGGAGGTCATTATGAGAAAATTAAGCAACTTGCTCCAGTTGCTACAGCAGCTGTCTGGCAGCAGCACATGGCCATCAAGGGGGTTCTGCCCATTGGTTTGGCAGCCTGTGGCTGGCAGAGAGTGGATATCAGGAAAGAGAATCTTTTCTACAGGAGCCAACTCAATTATCCACAAGGCCAGTTACAGGGAAATATGTCCTGCAAAGGCTGCACTCAGAGTAACCTCTTTCACTGTCTCCCACAGTTCCTCCCAATTACTTTTGATGGGACAGGTGGTTTCAGCTCGATGGCTGCTGGTGATTGGTGAGAGCACGGCAGATAAACTGCTGTGGAGAAGGGATAGCGTTTCCTGCCTCACACAGACAAAACAACTCAGCTCCACTGCCAATTCCCATCCAACAGCCAGCAAGGGAGGGAACAGTGAACTCACCCGTCTTGAATCAGGTAGTACTTGAGGATCTCATCGATTTTGGAGGTGGGAGTGGCAAAGCAGCTCTCTACAAGTGTCTCTAGTCCACTGACGTGCACCAAGGGCTCAATCCCAAAGTACAGCGAGTCCCGAAGCTTGAGGGTGGGCAGAGCCCCCCTGTAGGGTTCATCGAAGTCTTTGTCTTTGAAGATCTCCAGGGTGAAGGGGAAGACGCCCTGGTTGCGGCTCATGATCTCCAGGGGCGAGTTCTTGAGGTTGGGCACGTAGCCCTCGGAGATGGTGTAGCGGCGCGGGAACTCGCAGGTCACCGGGATCAGCAGCTTGCTGGTGCGCACAATGATGTCCCCGTTGCTGCCCGGAGTCTGCTTCGGCAAGCCAGTCACCAGGTTGGTGGCAATGATCTTGTCATCTATTACCTGTTGAAGGGAAAGGGGAGATCGCTGAGAAAGCGATCTCTCTGGGTTGACTTCGTCCAGGACACCCAAAGTGGCCACTGAAGGCAGAGCTTTGTGACTTTATACGCTGCAAGCAGAATGATGTTCACCCTCACTCACCAGCCAAGGGCCTCAGTGTGCTGTTGGCTGTGATGCACTGCACTCCTGCAGCAAGCTGAGGAATTGGCTTCCAGCTGCCACCCATCTGCTAAGATGGGCTCTCTGGCTCCTGAGCAGCTGCCAGTTTAATCTTTGGAAGAGGAGACCAGAATCTGTCTCCACAGGAGGGTGAGGAGTGACAGCACTTGTGCCTTCTGCACTGGTGTGACAGCGAAGCTCCAGGTGAAGCACCAGGCGAGCAGAAAGCTGCACCCACGCTGACAGACACACCACTGGAGGGGAGACGGAGCAAGCTCTCCTGCTTTGGGATGTCAGCCTAGGTCTACTCTGAGATCAGCTGCAGGGCAACACAGAAAACTGCTCTGACAGGGCAGCTAAACCAACTCTATCCCCCAAGGAAGCCACAGCCAAGTCCCCAAAATCCAGAGATCCCAAGAGACAGGGCAATAGGTACCATACATACATCTACAACAGTTCCACAGGACTTCAGGGAGAAATGGATGTTGACGTGAGTGCCGTTGGAGACGCCTTTGCAGGAAGTGTTGATGAGGGAAAGGTCCAGGCCTCCAACCAGGTCCTTTGGGATGTTCACCTCGATAGAGCTCGACTTGCACAGCACTGGCACTGCAAGAGAAGCGCCCACAATAAAAATCTGCACCGCAGAGCTACCAGAAGAGAGCTGGGGAAGGGCTGTACCAGTTATTACTGAGGAAAAAAGGGGGATCCTGCACAGCATTTACCAACACAGTCTCCCCACAGTAACTGCCTATCTTGCATCCCTACCTACACAACACAAACCTGAACTACCACAGCCCCAGATTCTGCAGCCGCAGCGATGCCTCAGAAGGCAATGAAGGCAATCACTGCACTTGCAGCAGAAACTTGGCTGTGCAGCATTTCCAGCTTCACTTAATAATCAGCACAGGTTTGATTGATCTCTCTTGCACTGCTATCTATGTCCTGGGAAGAGCCTTTGCCAGATATGGATATCAAATTCACAACACCCCAGGCAAAGCCATTTTTTAGGACCCTTAATCAGATTTTTACATCAAAACAAGGCAGAGTAATTCCATATAGATACCGAGCTAAAACGGAAGCACCTCAAAATGCCATAATAATATTTTTATAAGCAATAAACCCAGCTCTGGCAAACAAACCCAGTTATGTCACTCATTCCCACCTCCTTCCAACCTCTGAATTTTTAATACAGATAGATCTCCATGCGATTTTTTTTTTTAAATTAAAATTCCATTACATAAGAAGCGGGAGAAAACATTCACCTCAGGCAAAAGGAAAAAGGAAAGAAGAGAGAATAATCTTCAATAAAAAAGTAATTGCTATATACATATATATAAATATTTTCCTTGGGAGATACATATCTATTCAGCTAGAGACAGGACAAGTGTACTGGTGCCAGAAAAACAATCCCCTTACAAAATTTCCCTTTATTTTATTTTAAAATCCCACGACAAAACTTTTTGCAAATCTACTAGATGCCCAAGCTTTTTGCCAAAATTAATTACAGCCCCAGTCCTTGCCATTCATATGACCTGCTTTCCCTTAACTTTGATCATTAATTATGCAATTTAGGATTCTGGATCTTGGACACAAGGCACACTGCCTTTTACTCCCCTTAAAAAAATTCTCGTGTCCCAGCTGAGGTATTTGTAACAGCCTCCATACCTGCAGGGGAGGACTTTTAATAAGAATTTGATCTTTTCAAGGTGATATGCAAAAATGTATGCAGAGTGCCCACAGCAATCTGCTGCCATAATGACATTGCTGGGTTAGAACAGAAGCTTAAAGAACCAGGAACTACCTCAACCTCCCCTCCATCGGCAGGTGGGAATAACGGAGCACGTGGGATGGCAAAGCTCAGGAGGAGACAAAGGGACTTTGGAATACAGCACAGTGCCCACAGAGGAACATCCTTTGGAGAACTGATGGGCTCAGTCTGGATTTAAAGCCTCACTGCCCTAGTGACTCCTCGATAAATAAGAAAATGCCAGGCTTTTAATTTAGAAAGGTGAAGTTCAGGGCAAGACAGTTTGTCCCCCCGCTGCGATTTTCCTAAGTTCAGGACTAATTTGGTTAAGGATGTCTCTGTTTCTGCATGCCTTTGATTGGCACAAAGGAGGAGAAAGAAGACCCCATTGACCCCGTGCTCTGGCACTGCAGGACCTGTGTGCACACGCAGGAACAAGTGAAGGAAACCTGCGGGCGGATCCACTGGTGATTCAAGACAAATCCTGGCTAAACGCTCTGGGAAACTCCTCCTAGTGACCCCCCAGGACAGGGGGAGCTGAAAAAGAGATGAAAAGATGTGCAGATGTTATTCCAGGGCTGAGAAGTTACTGCCAGGACTGAGATGCCCAGCAGAAATGAGTTATCCTGAAGCCAAGGAACCCACTTTTATTCCCAACCTATGGCATCCGTTCAGAGAGCTGCACCCTCCCGACTTGCTGCCAGCATCCATGTCCTGAGGCTCCTGAGAGCCTCATCCAGGCTGTGCCAATCAAACATTTCAGTTCTTCACCCTCACACACCACAGAGCACCTGTGAGTACTGGGAAAGCCTCCTCATCTCCACTTTAAACTCCGCTTTGCACCAACACTTGACCCCGGTTGGAAGCCTCTGTGGTGAGTCCAACACTCACTTTGCTGTCTGCTGTTGTTGTTGGCACCACGTTCCAGCCTCTGGTTCCTTCCTTGGCCTTCCAAAGTGCAGCTGCTTGGAGCAGGCGTTATCCTTCTGCACAGACTGCCCAGCAGAACAGGTTCCCTGACCCGCTGCTCTAAACCAATTACCATGCTTACCCACACAAAAAACTTGGGCAGGGGAGAGGGGAGGAAAAGCATTTCACCCCTGCACTTCAAAAAGATGGGGGGTACTAGGATGGGCTGCAAAATTCCAAGTGTTTTGCTGGCTGGTATCTCTGTGGAAAAATTGTAGCCAAGGCTGTGGTTTCAGTGGAAGATTATTAATGTTTGTTCTGAACACAGAGACGGTGCAGAGGAGGGTGGAGAGGCTGCAGAGCCATTTGCTTCAGGCAACTGTTCCTGCCCTGCACCGCTAATTGAACCAATATAAACCTGATTGGATCTCATAAAAATTTGTGTGGTACAGTTCCACATCTGCTCAGAACTGCAGACCACTGCACAGGGACATAAACCCACGACATGCAGAGGAACAAGCAATTCCACTTCCATGAGCTGCTGCATCCCCAGCCCTGCCCAGCCCCTGGCAGTGCTGCTGCTCTCATTAAAGAGCTTCACAAGCAGGAGGAACATTGGCTGGGAAATCCAGGGCTCCCAACCCTGCTGGGGTTGCCTCTGGGAGCCAGGACTGCATCCATCCATCAGACCTTCAATCAGTCAGTGTAGTCACAGCTCTTGAAAATCCCCACCTCCACCTCCCCCAGCAGCACTGCTGGGTCCCCAGTGTGCAACACTCACCCCCTTGGGAGCCCTGCACTTCTAAAAAGCTTCAAAAAAAGCAGAAATTCCCTCAAGTAGGACCATTCCAGCTTCCTCTCTGAGGCACACCTGCCCTGCTGGCCCCCAGGAAGTCTGGATCTATCCCTCCAGCTGATGCCTGGGCACTCTGTGACACACCAGACTGCAAGAGGCTCTCTGAGCGCACCAGCTAACACCAGACTCCAGGTAGCCTGGAATGTATTTGTAAAGGAAATCCCATCCCAAAACATGGGACCTGTTTATTCCATGTGCATGTGAGTCAGCAGGAAGGCTCCCTGTGAAAAAGTTCACGTGGAAGGTTTTCCAGGGATAATGCTGTCCTTGCCTCTGTGCGAGGATGGATCCCGGGCACTTTTCCAAGGGACAGCAGGAACACCCAGCATCAAAGCTACTGCCCTGCTTCAAGACACAGGAATGCTTACTGGAATGGCTACTGAGAGCCTTGGGAAAAACCATGCCTCTCTCTTGAACCCCACTGTTGGAAGGGACTGAACCACCTGAGCTGAAATTTTCGAGTTTGAAGCATGGAAAATGTCAGTTCTACCAGCATCAGTTTGTCAGAGGCACACCCAGCTGAAGCAGAGCACTACAGTGGGAGATGTTAAGCAATCTTAATTGGAAGTGAACTCTGCCAAAACCACCTGTAATGCAAGAGGCACCCAGGAGGGCCCTGTGGCTGTTCTCCTGCCTGGTTAAAAGAGCAATGCCTTCAGGCTCTCAGTTCTGGCTGATCTGTCATTAAGGACAAAGCTCCACTAACCAAACTGGGAAGGACAGACTAAGAGAAGACAACAAAACCAAGAAGAGAAGTTCCTCCAGACATATTTTTGGGGGACAGAGGCTGCTGGGGGGATTTTGTTGACCTACCTTGGCAAGTGTGGTTGTCTTCTGACAGAACAAGTCCCCTTGGGCATTCACACTGGTAGGTGTCTTCCACTTCAATACAGGTATGGCTGCAGCCTCCGTTGTTGTTGTGGCAGCCTTCGATTTCTGGGAGAGAAAGGAAAATCAGCCACACCCTGAGGGCCCCAGCGTACCCCCCCGACCATCAGACAGTAACGACCAGCACAGCTCGAAGGCAGCAGCATGGGGAGAGCTTGATCCACGAAAATGCAGTGGAAACCCCCTTTTTTGAACTGTACAATTTCCTGTGTTTGTCATTTCACCATGAGGTTAACAGGGAATTCTGTGAAACGGTTTACCAAATTAAATCCCGCTGAATAAGCAATCTGCAGCTTGGGTAGGAAGGGACATTAAAGATCATTTTGTTCCACACCTTCCATTATCCCAGGTTGCTCCAAGCTCCACCCAGCCTGGCCTTGGACACTTCCAGGGATGGGGCAGCCACAACTTCTCTGGGCAACCTGTGCCAGGGCCTCCCCACCCTCACAGGGTGGAATTTCTTCCCATTATCCAATCTAAACCTGTCCTCTGGCATTTTAAAACCATCCCCCCTTGTCCTGTCACTACGTGCCCTTGTCGTTTGTCGCTCCTGAGACATCCTCTTAAACTAAGTTTTTATGCTGTTTCTTACTTCAAAAAGGTGGGAGAAAAATCCTCCTAAAACTTCTACCACACTCCCTCCCTTCATCACCACCAGAATTAAAGCCCTGAGCTTTGCAGGGGAGCTGCCCTGGGGAGGACAGCCCTGCAGGGAGCCAGCTCCTTTTTCCAGCAGGGAACACCAGAGGAAAGATGATGTGCTCATTCCCTGTGGGTTTCCCAGCTGGGAGGGAGGGGGGTGCACCAGATTCCCTCAACCCCTCTGTAGGGTGAGGATGAAACTTTGCTCGTAGGAGTTCCTTTAGCAGGAATTTTGCTGGTTTGTGAGTTCTAAGGCTTAGAGGGTGGCTCAGGGACAGAGTAACACAAGTTCACGGTGTAAAGTTGATTCCCTTCCTAATTTTCCCCCTGTTATGAAGAGCAGAGGAGAAAGGGCAGCACGGCTAATTGGAGGATTTGTCATGTCTTACATCTTACCCATTCAGGTGAGGCAACTCTCTGCAGACCTGAGTTTTTGTGTAAAACATATTCCTGGCTGCTGCAGCTACAGGAAAGAGCCTGAAAGGTCATCCAGATACATTCTGAAGATTTGAAAATCTAAGGAAAGTAAGGCCATTTCCAGCTCTTGTTGGCTTCCTCTTATAAAGAAAATAACAGGGTCATGATTTTTTTGGAAATAATCTTCACTGCTTGATTTTTTTTTTAACCCTTGGGGATGAGTGTGCTAGATGAGTACTACTGTTCTCAGTGAAACAATAGTACATCATGAGATAAACAAATCATAAAGACAAAATATTTCTCCCCAAGACTGCCATCAGAAATGACTGTGTGGTTTTTC